GATCTCAAGTTTGAGGTCAGCCTCAGCAACCTGGCGAGGTAGTCCTAAGCAAGTTAGTGAGACTCTGTCTCAAAATGAAAAATTAAAAGGGCTAGGGGTACGGCTCAGTGATTAAGAACCCTGGGTTCAATCCCCAGCACCAAAAAAGGGGATGGGGGAGAAAGAGAGGGAGGGAGGGAGAGAGAAAGCCAAATGAGTAAATTCTCCATGTAGTCAATGGAGTTAATCATCTGTGGGGAAAACCCAAGAGACTATGAATGTGTGCCTCAAGCATTCAGTACCAGCCTCCTCCAATCTCTGATTGATCTAGGGGCAGGGCTGGAATGCAATTGTAGCTCAACTCTTGGCAACCTAACCTAAGTAATTATATCCCAACCCTTTTGGAGATGGTTGCATGACGAGGAAGGAGCTGTTCCAACGTAGCACACATCGGTGGTTGGATGGGGACAGAGGGTGCCTCAGACACGCAGACACGGGTTAGTGTTTTCCAACCATACTTATGCACAGATGGGCGAGAGAGTCGCCTGAGTTTTCTTGGCTGATGACCCTGAAGTCCACACTCACTAAGTAAATTTCTGATAATGTGTCTCCTGTGGAGCTTTCCCCACAAGAAGAAAGGATCCTTGTCCAGTTGCTCTGAACATTCCATTCATCATTGTGACACAAGACAGTTGGGTAGATTCTCGGTGGACATGAGGCAGGTAGGCAGTGTGAGGTGAATGGGAAGCCAGGCTGCCTGGGGCGGGGTAGGTTGTCCATCTCTAGTCGGGTGCTGCGGCTCCTGTTCGCACCCTTGCCCTGCCTGCTGCTCCAGTTAAGGGGGAACTGGATCCATAATGGGAGGAGGAGAAGAGATAACAAACAACCATTCACAATGGGTGGGCTGAGGTCCGGGCTCTTGGGTTCACTTTCTATTTACTTCTCGTACTGACCCAGTGATATCTATTATGCTGGGTACTTTGGCCCATGTCGACCTCCTTTGTCTTCATAATAAGCCTGGGGAAGACAGGCCTAATCTCACTTGACAAGTGGGGAAATTGGAGTGAGCTAAATGGCTTCTTCAGGACCCATGGCTAGTAACCAAACACTGGAATCAACCCTTTTGAACTCTACTTGCATCTTCCTTCCAAATTAATGAAGAAGTATCTCCAGGGGGTCACGGGATAAAATGGTAACCTTAGAGACTATAACATACCTAATATATCTCTGTGCTGCAAGGATCGAATAGCGTTAGAGTGGAGAGGGATTTGGGGGATTGTTTGGTCCAAACTCCTCATTTTGTAGAGGAATTTGGACCAGACAAACATAGGGACCTAGAAGAGATGAGAATATGTCCAGGATCAGGTGGGAGAGAAGAACACAGAAGTGCCAGAAAGGAAAAATCCGGGGCGTGGTAGGTGAGTGGGCTTGGGTGGAAGTGCAGAGAGAAGCAGAGGGGAGGATGAGTCAGAGTCAGAGTCGATCATGAAACCATGACAGAAACAGGAAGGACCAGGGAGGGAGCTAGTGATGGAGAGGTTAAAAGAAGTTGAATTTGTTTCTGAAGAATTGAACTTGAGAAGTCAAGGAACTGGGAACTCCAGTTGAAAACTCTAAGACCTGAGAAGAGAAAACATATCCCAGCAACTGACGAATCTCAGGGCGAGCACCCTAGCACCAAGACCCAGGCACCCATGGCAGGACTCTGTCATGCTCAACAGTTTTACTGGCCGCTTAGATGACAGCTGAGAGGGATATCTGTCATGTCTATAATCCATGCAAAGCAAAATACCACAGATGGTCACAGAATCAATAGACAAAATAGTCAGAAAGAAGAAATGAAACTAGCACCAACTTTATCAGGAATCAATGTAAAATCCACTGTTCATGTTCAGAAAATCAACTGCACAGAATTAATAAGAGTAACAATGGTAATAATATTAATAGCTGTTATTCTTAAATTCAATAATTGCCATGTGCAAGGAATACTGTGTCATCGCTTCACAAGATTACTTAATCCTTATAATAGTCCCTTGACATTTATACTGTTATTATCATCTTTACCTTACAGGTAGGTGAGGGAGGCCCAAAGTCACAAACACCTTGATTTGTCTGTCTGAAAAACACCATACTCTCTATCCAATAAGATGAGGATTGGGGAGACCTGATTTGACCATGCTTGTGCCAAAGGCCTTTTCTACTTGTAAAATAAGCAGGTATGTGTGTGTGCGTGTGTGCTACAAAGAAAAACACAAGCACAAATGATGAGCGAATTTTCCTCTTCAAATTGGTTTCTCGAAACTGAAAAGGATGAATTTGAGTATGATTCAGGATTGCAAAATTGGAAATGTTCACCTAGAAGTGTAAAATTTTTAAGATCATAAGGACAATGTTTACTGTGGAAGAATTGAGACCCCAGAGGGATTTCTAATGATATCACCACCTTATAAAATGCAAGGGAAAACCACAGCTAAGAATCCACTAGAAGATCCTGAGAGTCTGTGCACTCCCCGTCAGATGGGAGCCCACCTCATGTTGTGCTTTGGTGGAAGCAAACATCTCTGTGGTCATGCCCAGCTCCCTTGCCCATCTCAACTCCTCTACACAGACACTCGAGGTGAGAGCTCACCCCAGCCTTCCATATGGGAACCTTCCCTTCTCCCCCATCTCAAGAATCCTCTACTTCCCTTCTAATCCCGCCCGCCCTCTTCCTTGGTTCACTCTGTTTTTCTCCTGGTCACTCCTTTTGCCTCCATTCTCATTTCAGCCCTGGAAATATACTCCGTGGGCCAGGGTCCTCCCTTCTGATGCTTGGATGGACACTCATTGTCATTTTTTTTTTTTTGGCTAAGAATTTGAGCAGATTCCAATATAACTTTAACAAGCATAAGAGCATAAACATAGCTGTCTATGTATATTGTCAGCTGGTGCCAAATAATTGCACAGTAAGTGATCTTCTGAATCAGTCTTAACCCAGGAAAAAGAGAAGACACAAGTCCTAGGGGGCATGTGTTCCATCTATCTATTCCTCACCGGGTCATACAATTACAGGAAAGATCTAGGATGATGTTTTGAGTCCCTTGTGTTTACAATTTCATTTCTTTGGAAAGTTCCACGTCGATGGTGCATGTTTTATGAAAACAGGCCTATGCTGTTAAGACAACTTAGTAACCAAGTGGGGAGAAAGCTACTTTTCTCTCAGCAGCTGAGTGTAGTGTATGATTATCCACCATATAATTTTGGTTTTCTGTCCTCTAATCTATGGTTTCATATTGCCTATCAGCTACTCTGTGATCAGGCTGGACTTTGTCCCAGAGGGAGGGATCATAAAATGATTCACGTTCTATTGCCTTTCTTTATTTAGATTCCATGAGGACTTCCTGAAAGAGTTACCAAGGCTTAGTGTAGCTTCAGGTTGTGGAATATGTCTGAAAAGACACTTTGGAACCCTCTTACTCCTTGGAGATGGTGCCTTGTTAGTTTTTTCTCTTTCCCATCTTACCCACCTCTCCTCTTTCCCTTCTCACTGCTGTGCCCAGGTCCAGGCCCACAGTTCTAGATGCTTGGATTACTTGAGTCTCCCCCACCCCTGCAGCATCCCTGCCTCCAGGTTCCTCGGTCTGATCCTTCCTGCTACCCCCACCCCCAAGCCTGAAGGCATGACGTTTCCAATCACACAGCAGCAGGCTCTCCGGCTCCCATGACTAGAACCTTCACGGTATGTTCCCAGCTGTCCCCACCCTACACATCCAACCTTATTAGGACCTTCTGGCTCCACACATCCCACTCTCCAGCCTCTGCTGGGCAGAAGACTCTCTTCACCATCCCACAAGTGGACCATACTTGTGTCAGCTTCTGCATTTCCACCCTCCCAGCCTGTCACTCTCTCCCTGCTCTACTCTGGTCCGTCTCTCAAATCCCAGCTCTTGACATGTCTTGTCCATGGAAATCTCTCCACTCTCCAATTCTCTTCTCTGCTCATGGCGTCCCTTGCTACTTCCATTGTGTTACCTCCCTCCCATGGGGGAACAGCTACCGAGACCAAAGACCCAAGGCAGCTATGGCACCTCCTCCTTGTCCCCCAGCAGTGCTGATGGCTCCACGCTCTCAGCATGGAAATAACGGCTGCCCTGCTGAAGCTGCCTGCTCATTGCAGATCACAGAGGATCTTGACCGGCCTCTTATCAAGCCCCAACCAGGTAGAAGACCCATATCCTAACTGTGAAGGGCTGTTCCTCTGCCAATTCCAGGCTAATTTCTCTTAATTGTTGTCTTAAAAACTCCAATTCTTCAGTTTCTAATTATTTTTGAGAACTCATCTGCTACCCATGTCACATCACCCCATGGGAAACTGAAGCTGTGGTGTGCAGGTGGGACGAAGCACACTTCCGCACATTTCAAAGTTCCAATTTCCACAAGCCATGATGTCATTATAGTAAGACAAAAAGAAAATCTTCGAAATCAAATTTTGGGAAGTTGCCTTTTCCATATCTCCTTGACTTATGCCCTTGGGCCACTTCTGGTTTATTCTAAGTGTTTTGTTTTGTTTTTACAAAACCATTGTGACAATATCATGAGGGCAGATAAAGTCCCCCCAATAAACTTGTGATGAATATACATGAAATAAATGACAGTAAAACTAAATAAATACACATGATTTCAAGTATCCTGAAAATTCAGTAGCAATCCACAGTGAAGCCGGTGCAGACTCAGTTTAGACATACTCTGCATTAGCAAAGTCTGTTGCATTCTGAAAGCTGACCTTTGGTAGAATCTGAGCCGTTGGTTTTTCTGTTTCATTGTCTCTCCTTATATTTATCACTGGCAAAAGCCAGAGCTAGAGCAGGCCAACTTGCTCCTACACATTTCTTTTAAAGTCCAGTTTGCTTCCCCATAGTAGTTGCCACCCACTGCCTTCAAAGTAGCAGAGTATTCCAGGGTTTCAGGATTTCTGAGAAGCTATAAGATCATTGGGATGGGGACATGGAGGTGCGGTAAGTACCAGATGAGAAAAATCTTACCTCAGCTTCTGACTGGCTGGGACAGTTATCTTATTAAGCTTGTCCATTCTTTTGGATGAGGGACACGAGTTGCCAACCCGTGGTAATATCAGCAGTTCCTGGCCCTCCTAGGGAGCAGCATGGTAAGCCTCTGATCTCAGGGCTTCAGTCACTGGATCTGACTTCTGAGAGTGCAGGCTGCTGGCAAACACCCCTGCACTAGGGAGAAGTAAAACTTGCTGGAGCACATAGTCAAGTTTCATATTTCTATGTAATCATGTGACCTGGGGAGCCAGCCAGCCAGCTTGGCTGATTACTCCACGTTGTGTAAACTTTGATAGCGAAACCTATTGGCCATGCAGATTTCTTTCCAGCTGCTTTCTTTTAAAATCAGGGTTGTTACCAGGTTGGGACAATGTTGCTGGCTGGTCACTACTTCCTGTTTGTCCCACATACATGTAGTCCCCAATTTTAGCAGGTGTCCGGCTGTCAGCAGAACTTCCTTGGCTCAAGAAAGAACTTAGAATAATCAATTCCATCTGAATGTCTTTTGGGGACTTCCTGAACATTTGCATCAAGTTATGGATAAGCCTTTTCCATTTATAGAACTATTACATGAAAAGGGGACTTTTATAGCACTGTTCCTCCAAATGTCTATCAGGGTGGCAGAGATACCATGGCAAGAGTTTACTCAGAAAGTTAGAGTCTCTCTTTTCCTGGGGTTCTATTTAAAATGGGATGGGCAATTCTTGGTGCAAGATCATTGGAAGGGGTGACCTGGGCCAGGGAAGATGATTTCCATTATAAATGGTGTGTCCTCCTTATCAGCTGGTGGATTTCAGAGCTCCCCTAGTGATAGCCTGGTGCTCTCAAATAAAACCAGGATGTACTCATCTATTTCCCAAAAATGCAATTCCAACATCAGGAGGACATCCCCTTAAAAGCAGTGTCACTCCACTCCCTGCCTTTGTCCTATTCTTATCCACTGCTTACGTTCTCCTTTCATCAGACCCAGCGGCATGCCAGACAAGGGGCATCCCAAGCACAGACAGGTGGAGCAAGGTGGAGCGAACCCTACCTGCCGTGGCCGTGGCCGAACCCACCCAGGAAGCTCTACTTCCCTCCTGGAAGACTTCACAATTCTTCTGCCTGATCTGAAAAATCAGGCTTATCTGTCATTGAAAGAGCAGAAGGCAAAGTTAGGGTCAAGGAGAATGACAACAAGAGGGCTCTTCCTTTTGTACCTGGACATACTTCCCTGCAGCTAACAGGGACACCCTGGTCACCTCTGTGAAGGAAAGCGCAGGTGTGCCACCTCAATCAAGGGGCCAGCCCTCTCCTGGGTCTGAAGAATATATAAGGGGACAAAGAAGAGGGGTCCTAGTTACCTCTCTGTTACAGACTCAAAGTCTGGCTGAAGCAAGATGAGGAAAGAGTAGACAGAAGAGGGGAGCTGGAGAGGAGGCAGAGGAGGTGAAGGACGAGGAGAAGCAGCCGTGGTAGTGGTAGAAGTGGGCACATAGATGGATTTCTTCTCTCCTGGCCTCCTCTTTGCGCAGAGATCCTATAGTTCTCCAGGTAACCTTGATTATTTACAGTCATGAACTGCATGTCAATTTCTGGTTCTACTAGATGTGGAAGGGTGGGGACTGTCTGCCCTGGCCAGGCCAGCAAGAGAGCAGACAATCTTCATGAGAAAAATGCAAGCGCTTTGTTTCCTCTGATGGTTTATTTCCCCCAGTCCAGCAGCTTGATTTTCTTGCAGGATATTCTAAAAGAGCTCCAGACCACTGCTATTCCTTTCCCACAGCTCTTAGCTGAAAGAAACAAGGAAATCAATATGGTCAAGGCACACACATTGTCATCAAAGACCAGGAAAGCTGGGCTTCACTGAAGGGATGGTAACGCTCAGCTCACTTCTTCTGAAGTATTGTAAAGTGCAGCCACTGGCCCCTTGACTTTGTCCCCATCAAACAACTCTCTTCAGCACCTGGGTTGGCAACTTCTTATTTCCCCAGAGAAAAAGACAGGCGCAAGGGTCACACTTCTGCTTTTTTCTTTTTACAGCCACTTGTCTTTCTTCTTTTTACTGTATTTAGTCTGACATGATGAAAATGAGAGTCTGCTTTTCCAGACTGGACATTTTGCCCCCGGTGGTGTGTGGTGTAACCACCTGGTGTTCCAGGCCTTCCACAATTGCTCTACACCTGGAACTGGCTTACCAGGAAGTTCAGTGCAAGTGTGGAAAGGGACACTTGGTGACTTGTAAATGAGGTGAGACCACAGCCTGCTTCTCTAGCACATGTGGAACAGCACACCATGATAAGCATTCCGACCTGATCTATAGGCACAGTGGATGAGGAAATTAGTACATCAGAAGATTGACAGATGACAAATGGACACTTCCAACCTGAAATAAAATATAAGGTGTGATCACTCTGGAAACAATTGGGATTATCCAGCAAATTTGATAACATATCTATGGCCCTGTATAGATCATAAATGTGAGTGTTCCTAATAATGTAGGCCAAGGTCATGTGCACAAATTTTCATAGAAGCACTGTTTCTAGAAGAAAAAAAAAGTCTTGGAAGTAAACCCAATTTTCCCTCAAAAGAAAAATAATTGTGGCATAGTCACATAATGGAGTACTACTCAACAGTAAAAATTGGTGAACTTCATATATATCACTATGGATAAATAACAATAATTTGAGGAGAAAAGACAAACTAAAGAAGCTTAGGTAGTATGATTTCATTCACATTAAGGTTAGAGGCATATAAAACAAAATGTTATTTAGGATACACACATATGCAGCAAAACCAACAAAGAGAATAATAAATGTAAAAGTCAGATGTGTGGTTATCTTAGAAAGGGATTGGAATGAAGGGGCACATAGGGTTTCCAAACAATGGCAGTGGCCTATGTCTTAAGTTGAATGGTGGGCATAAATGTTCATTTTAATGTTTTTATATCTCACCCATATTGTAGGTATTTATTTAAAAAGTAAATAATTAATGAAAAGAAAACATGGCTTAGGATTATTGGGGAAAACCAAAATAGCATGCCTAAATCTAAGTCAATTCTGTGAGATGACAAGGCTTTGACAGATGACAGATTATCCTGGAGCCTGGGACAAGATCGAACCAGATCACTCTTGGGTTCTTTCTCTAGCATCTCTGGGGGAAAATTACAATGCATGCTTATTGAATGCTCCCTGTGTTTCCTTTACTATGCTGACATTTATTTTACATCCTCAGCAAGGGTAAGTAACTGATCCACAGTTATGCCACTTGTCAACGGAAGAGCTGGGATTCAGACCCCCCACGTCTGTCTCCACAGTCTAAGCTGCTAATCACATGGCTCTGCCATTGCAAGGGAGAGCTTTTGTGAGGGCCCTGCCCTGACATTGACCTTGGGTGAGTCACTTAGTCTCCCTGACTTCAACTTCTCACTTTTAGAACATAGGAACAGGGACTCAGGAGGACTTGGGCTCCTTTTGACTTGGAATCTGAACACTGCCAAAATGACCCACAATTCTTTAGCACTAGCCAAAACTCTGAGTTTCCAGAAAAGAAGTCCTGGATTCTCATTATGAGACTGCTTCCTACGGAGGGGATGGGTGGCTGTGGCAATTACAAAAATTTGAAGGTTTTTCTAGTTCTCGCTGGGACGGGGAGGTCAGTCCCAGTTCAACCTATATGCTCTGCTATAACCACCCATAGATTGCTATTCCCCAGCAGGACCAGTTTAAACAAACTGCAAAAGGAAGCAGGCACTATGTGGTGTTGGTTCTCCTATGCAGAACCATCTTCTACTCTCGTGATGTTCAGCGCGACAACTACCCTGTGGGGGTTACTATTATCATCCCTATTTAAAGATAGTCCGAGCCTCAGGAAGGTAACAAGATTTATATCCACCCAGTTTTCCTGACCCATCAGCTGGGGTCCCTAACCCCCAAGTCAGTCATTCTCTTTTCCTTTCTGGTGCCCTTTCTCGGGATGGGGTAGGGGGCGCATTCTGCAGCAACAGCAGCCCAGTCGCTCTCTGACACAGGAAAATGGAGCAGGAGCTTGCCAGTGGTCAGGCCCAAGGCTAGTATTCTCAGCTAGTGCCAGCTAAGGGCACGGATGGAAGATGCGCTGGGAGGAGGCCAAGGAGCCCGCAAGACAGCGGAGGAAAATAGCAGAAGAGGATGGGGAGACAAACAGAAAAGGAAGTGCGGTTGAGGCTGGTAGCAGTTTGTCTGTTCTCTTTTGTGGCAGGAGAGGCAGGAAGGGAGGAAGAAGGAAGCTTGAGCAAATGAGCAAGGGCCCTTTTAAGCTCAAAACTGTTCTTTCTATGACACAAATCAGTTCTCTATTTTATCTGTACAGTAAGCTTAACATTCTGTCTATCAAACTGGCCTGGAGTGAAGCCCTGTATTCTTAAGGGAACAATTTAGATGAAAACAGCCTGTACTCACCGCGCTGATCCAAGCCCTGTTGAAAAGAATGTTGCAGCAGCCTATTGGGATGGACAGCTCCTGGCCTGTGTGTCTTCTTCATCTCTCCACCACCCTGTGAAATGTTCCTGCCATCACCTGCTCTCCCTCGAGCCTTGGGCTCCCCTCTTGCTACTTCAAAGCTCAATCCACCCCCACCCTCAGGCTTTAACAACAGACCCCTCTTTAGGGCTTCGGAGGCTTTTCTGTTCTTCTAGAACCACTATGGATGCTATGCACGCCCCTAATGGCTGAGACTCCTTGTTGATCCATCTTATTCCACACGGATTCCCAGTAGGTGCCAATCTCTTTGGTCAGACTGGTCACCAAACCACATCCATCATATGACGCAACCACTAATGCAAAACAGCCATCCAGAAACAGGCCACCAGGAGCCCAGGTGGTTCTCAACAGTCAGGCCATGATAAAGCCAAAGAGCGGGAAAGGGTAGAAAGGCCGAGTTCTCTGGCCTAGTAATGGGTACCTCAGAAATAGGGGAACCAAGATAAGGCTCCTGGCCTCCAAGAGTGGAGGCTCTATCCTTAGGGAGAAGTCCTCAAAAGCACAGGATGTGGCTGTTTGTTCCTGTTACCTTTTATCTGATGAAGTTAGATTAGTCTCTGGTCTTCCTACCTAAGCGGTCCATGTGGGTTCAGAAGGTCCCCAAATAAAAGAAAGACTTGAGCAAATGAGATCATGTTCTTGGATAGATGATTCAGCATTATAAAGATGTCCATT